TTTCCCCGGCTCACCCCACCCCCCCGGCAGGAGGAGCTAGAGTTTGCCATCATGCGGATCGAGGCGCTGAAGCTGGCCCGGCAGATCGCGCTGGCTGCCCGCAGCCGCCAGGACGCCAAGGTACCCGCCTGCCTGGAGAATGGTGTGTGGTCCGAGCGCTTCCGTGCTAACCATCCGCCGGGCCGGCATGGCTGGTGTTCGGCGAAGTAGGACCTTCTAGGAAGCTCAACGCTTAACGCGTGCGCGAGCACACACCCAGCACGTGTCTGAGACCTAACTCCGCGGGAGGGAGCCTGCTCCGGAGTCTGAGTGATACGGGCGGGGCATGCAGAGGTTGTCTGCCTGGCTTCCGAGTTGCTGATGACGCGTGAGACGGCGTGTGGCCCTGTGAGGCTTGGCCCACCCCGAGCTGGGCAGCCTGGGGTCCTGGTGTGTGGGCCCAGGGCCGGACCCGCGTGCCCGGCCGCTCTGACCGACGTGGTGAGAAAGGCCCTGAGCCTCATCTGTGAGGCGAGGCTAACGCAGCGAGTTCGCCAGTTGCTGTGAGGGTTGCAGGTGACGTGTGGAGAGCCCGCACAGTAGGTGTGCAGGACGTGAACGCTGCTGCTGCGCGCTGGCCCTCCCCTTTGCTTCTGCTGCCTGGTCAGACGCTCGCTCGAAGCAGCTCCTCAGCAGGTGGTCCAGGCACAAACCAGCCCAAGGGGGACCAGGGGGAGCCCTGCCTGTCCATCCCCAGTAGCAGGTCCCCGGGCAGAGGGGCCAGTGGTGCCTCTGTCTCTCGTCCTTAGTGCAGGATCAGGGGCTTGGTGGCTGCCCCTGCCCTCAACCCCACACGTGGTTTCCCTGGAGCTGGGGGTGAGGAGGGCAGAGACCCCTCAGTGAAGGAAGGTGGGCACACTGGGTGTCCAGACGGGGTGGGTAGGGACCCAGGGCAGGGACAGGATATGGATGTAGAGTGCCCTTGTTCTTGCGGCCAACCATGAACTTGGGTTTGAATTCCATGAAAACGGAATCCTCAGGAAGTTCGACGCGGCGAGGGTTGCCTTTCCCAGGAGATTTGTTTCTTGATTTCCTCGGGTAGCGGCTGAAGGCTGGGCCACTGCCAGCGCGGCCTGTTCTGTCCCGAAGTGTGAGGCGAGTTGGGGATGTCCTACTCAGTAGTTTGGATTAGGCAGCGAGCGTCCGGGGCGCCTAGTACCCCCCCCCCCCCCGCCTTCCTCTGAGGCCGCGTGGGAGATAGCGGAGGTCAGATGTCGGCCAGCAGCTGACTTCCATCGGTCACGTCTGTTCTCCGGCCACGAGTTCCGATTGTGATTTAGAAAATGCCGCCCCACGGACGCCCTGCACGTGGGCGGGACTCGGCCCGCATGTTTCCGCTGCGGTGACTCTGCCCGTCTCTCCGGCAGCGCGGCCTCAACCGTGGCGAAGACACAAATGAAACCGCTTGGCACGAGAGGCCCTCTGAGGGAGGGCAGGCGCAGGAAGAGGGGGTGGATTCCCGTGGCACCTGCCAGCGGCTTTAACTTGCGTTGACCTGTAGCTGGAGGGCCGGCCGGCCTCTGGGGG